TATATACCCTATCGGATTTTAATTACATTTTGATATACATATTTAATAAATTTTTGCTAGTCGTCACATATCATTTATTTTGCAAAAATAGCAGGAGCTAATTTAGGGTCTATATGGCAGAATTGCCTAATTGAAGAATGCTTGCCATCGAGGGGGCTCTCTCGGTCTATCGGCGAGGATTAAACAACTGCATAAAAATAGTAAATTATTACAGTATTTATAATATGAAATTGGATATAAAGTAGTGAAATCATTAAAAGAAAAATCTATAAATACAGTTACATGAAATTCGACTGCTAAAAAGATTAGATGGAATTAAACTATACAGGAGGCTGTTAACTGTATTTATACAATGTTATACACAGGAACGCACATCACGTTAGACACAGAACGCGCATCGCGTATGACACAAAATGGCTTCTAAATTCTCAATGTCGCAACTCTTTCTATCTATGGCTCTGTACTTAGCAACAGAAGGGCGCCCTGTACGTTGGGCACGAAGTGTAGAAAAAAATTCCTGATGATGACATAATTAATGTCGAAATATTGAATCCCAACACGATGGCGTGTATTTCAATACTTGGAGTATGTATTATACTTTCTTATCTGAGATTAATCAGTGGATCTTTCGGTAAGTGTAGAAAACTTGCATGGTTAAAAAAAAGGGCGCAGCCTACGTTGGGCACGATTTTCGCCTCATTTACAATGCGAGTGCTCTATCTTGTATTTCTAGTATCTTTTGACAACAGCAGTAACAGCGGGGGCGACATTTCCAACAAAGATTCGATCAAGATCAAGCTAGGGCCTGCTGCGGAAACAATGGCTGAGTATGATGATCTCCATCATTTCTTTAATAATCGACGTAGTAGTGAGCCCTATGCATGAGTTTAGTTAGCTAGCTAGAACCGAACATTGGATTGTTTGCATGATTGCTAGGTAGGCCTAGCCTAGGCCTCCCTCTCTCTCTCCTACATACAGGCCAGCCTAGCCTGCCTACACCACTAGTTAGTAGTACTAGCCTAGGCTAGGCTAGTCGGTCCTACTAAATACCACACGGAACACACGGGACCACTCGAGGCCACACGGGTGCAAAAATGATTACAATAATTACCACACAAGAGTATAAAACTGCTTTATAATCAATGAAAACCAACTTTTATAATGGTAATTGGGCGCTAATGCACTTTAGTACTGTAACACTTCTATCTTCAAAAATTGTCTTTTTACCTACTGTGCACTCCTAACAATATCTCACGATTCTTTTTCATCAAGTTCTCTCACTAATTACACCAGATTTTAGCATTTTATTACTAAAAACAACGTTCTTTCCCAGCGATTCATGACGGTAGCGACTCGCGATGTTTGTTTATAAATAATTAATTGCCAGGTTGTTATCCAATTTTAAGGACAGCTCTGTTCGTTGCCAGGTTTGATTTTTTTTTTTATTTTGTTAAAGAGATGCCTTTTCATAAATTGTTATTTGTATTTTTATCTGTATTGTTTATATCGTTGTTCTGGTACAGCGCAATATTAATAATGACATATTACATTTAGGGACAACAGCTATTATTTCGTCGGGGAAATCTGACCCCTTGTCGGGGCATTGCACTTAGGACCTACATATTTATTTATACATTCTTTCATAATGTATGCATGTTCTGCTGCCTTCCTTTTCCCTTCTTTCAGGAGCCATCGAAATTGTCATACTGTTTTAGTGTAGTCTTGTGCTCTACAATAAGTTCTAAATATCTGAAGCTTCATTTTGATTTACTAATTCTGGCAACACCAAATCATAAAGTTTGATTTCTGGCAACAGCATTAGGCTCGATCGCCAATTCGCCATTGGAGATGACGGATGGAGCCATAGGCAGTGGTTTTTAGTAATAAAATACTAAAAACCAATGTTATTTAAGCAGAATCTGAATGAAGAAACACCGTATGATATTGTTAGGAGCACACAGTAGGTAAAAAGACAAGTTTTGAAGATAGAAGTGTTACAGTACTAAAGTGCATTAGCGCCGGTAATTGTCCAAAATATGGTAAAAATAATTTTTTTTACAGGCTCTTCCGCCGTGCTTCGGAAGGTAATGCGTTGACATTGAGACGCATTCAACCTTGACCTCTACCACATTCACTACGTACATTTCATCCTGCATGTATGCCTATTGTATGGCCTAAGTATTCTACAGTACTGTATTTATTAATGTATCTGCTTTGTATTTGTATACTTAAGTGTTTTTGTCTCTTAATTTTTTAATTTAATTTTTTTTTTTTAATTTGTATTGATTCTGTAGTTATGCTTTAGCCCAGAGACAAATCTAGTTAACTTACGAATACTGTAATGTTTTTAAAGATGGTATTTTGAGATTTTTTTCTATGAAAAAAAAAAAATGGCAGTAGTACCGCTTTTTGTGTTTCAATGTACCGTATGTTTTTAATGTGTATGTTTTATTTTATTTTTTTTTTATTTATTTTTTTTTTGTGTTTCACTGTTTGTTATCTTCTTTGCTGGGATCCGCGGAGGACCAGGGATTTTATCCCTGAGCAGTCCCCCAGGATAAACAATAAGGTAAATAAATAGATAAAAAGATGAAAGAAAGGTTCTTTCAAATATTGTGTTAGTGCTTTTTAATGTAATTTTGTTAGTTTTGACGCACTGTAACATTGGGAGTGTAAGCTCAATAATTTATTATTATAATCATGAGGCTTATTCTACAGTAAAGTATTCAAGGCACTCTACGTGAAGTCTGATTAACTTACTGAAAGAAATAGGGGCCAAAAAATTTCCATTCTAGGCCTCTGTGGGTTTTATTCAATTTAATGAGAATCTTCCAAATTCATCCTCACAGAGCACGATAACAATTAATTGAAAGATGTGTAATGGATATAAATGGTAAATAAATAAAGAGCACAACACATTATTTTAGAAAAAATAACGAAGGTTAAAATTAGTGACATAAATATATGAATATCTCGGCCGTTCCTGCAATAAACCACCTTTAAACACTTTATTAGCATAAAGGCGTAGGCCTATACTTTATAAAATAACAAATGGTTTATATAGCTGAACAGAGCTGATGCATCATCTAATTAGCAGACGTTACTTATACAATATACTGTGATGAATTTAGAAATTCTGTATTTAGGACAACAGTTCCAGACAAAATAAATATACCCCCTACTGGTAACCAAATTGAAGCTAATTCTTTACTACAGTACAACAAAGTTGAGTTTTGTATTTATTCACTTCTAATAATAATAATATATTTTATATTAATGCAATCTTCTTTATTCCATTGATGTAGGCCCTACACTGAAAAAGAAAAAAAAAAACATTTACGAGCTTGACAGAAAATAAAAATAAACGATCAATTTAATAATAATACATAACAATTCAAATTCTCATTTTCGTTTTATGTAGAATAGGTTTATTACAGTTCACATGGCAGTATATAACGGCCTATCTTGATTGATGCTATGAAACACAGACATAAAGGTCATGGTTGAATGCGTTTCTGCTGACACGTCAATGCGTTACTGATGCACAATGTCAACGCATTTTACATACCGAGTCACGGACGGGAAAAACCAACAAAACAAAATGAAGATGCATCGATCTTTAACAGAATTTGGATAATTACCGTTCTAAAAGTTGGTTTCTATTGATTATTAAGTACTTTTCTACTCTCGTGTGATAATATTTTTATCATTTTTCCACCCGTGTGTTCCCGAGTGGTCGCGAGTGGTCCCGTGTGTTCCGTGTGGTATTTAGTAGGACCCAGGCTAGTAGTAGTACTAAAACCTAGGCTAGGGCATACTACTACTATGCCTACACTACTCTTTTTTCTACTACCAGTAATTAGTGGTACTACTACTAGGCCTAGCTAGCCTAGGTCTACAACTACAGGCCTAGGCTTACTAGGCCTAGCTAGGCTAGTTAGTAGTAGTAGTTTTAAGTCTGCCGAATTCAGAGCCAATTCCTTTAATATTTACACTTTTTTTTTAAAGAACACTGAGGCTGAAATTGCTTAAAAATAAAGAACAGTACTGTATAAGAACAAATTGAGGCTGAGGTAAAATGTCGAATGTGATTTTTATATTAAAAAACTAGAAAAGCCAAAAAATTATATCTACCTTATGTGCAGTAGGTGTAACTATGGAATACCCTCTATAATACATTTCAGTAGGTGTACCGGTTTCTGGACAGAACAGCAAAAAACCAAAATAGCAATAAGTCAAAACGGCAATGACCAAAACGGCAAAAAATCAAAACAGCAACACTTTTCAACCAGAACGGCAATAAGTCAAAACGGCAAGACCAAAACGGCAATAAGCCTAAGTCAAAACGGCAATAAACCAAAATCACAGTATAAAAGCAGTAAATATTTAAATAATTAAAACTTTAAAATACTGACAACATGAGGCTAAACAATTTATGGCAAAAGTAAAAAAGCGAGAGAAAAAAAAACACTATAATAATAATAATAATGGTAATGACGACGACGACGATGTAACATACAAATTCAATAGCTAAACAATTTATGTAATAAAGTAAAAATTTGCGAAAGAAATATAATAATAACACTTTAAAGAACAACAACATTAATAATAATAATAATAATTAATAACATACAATTTAATAGTAAAAAGATTGGGGGAACATATGTAATATATAAAATATAAAAGCAGTGAACATTTAAATAATTAAAACCTTAAAATACAGGTAAAATGAGGCTAAACAATATAATGCCATGAAAGTAAAAAATGAGAAAGAAAAAAAAATAATAATAAATAACACTTTAAAATAATATAGGCCTAGTCATGGATGTGTAAAAAAAAAAAAAACATAACAAAAAAAAAAACATGATTCAGAAAATTATAAGCTGCTGCCCACACCCGGTGGCGCTTCATTCTTGGCATTAATTTTTGCTCCTTTGCCGTTTTGGTCTTTGCCTATTGTCGCTTTGGTAGTTGTCATTGCTGTTTTGGTCTGTTGCCATTTTGGTACTTACCATTGCCGTTTTGGTTTATTGCCGTTTTTGTCATTGCTGTTATGGTTTTTGCCGTTTTGACCTGCTCCCGGTGTACCACGTGTCATTTGTGGCCATTTTTACCGGGGCTTTGTTTCTGTGGCTTTTTTTTCAGGAACCATTTTTTCCTTGGCCACTTTTTACCTACTTTCCAGTACAGTGTATACTGCTGTACAATAATAATTTGTATGTTTGAAAAGTGTGTAACATAAGAACAAAATAAGAACATTGTGAACCTGAAATCGGACAAAAAAGTAAGAACACTGAGCCTGGCCAAATTTTACTGGTTCTTATAAAAAAAATAAGGGTATAATTTGTGAGCATTTGTTTTTTGCAAAGTTGTTTTTATGCAGTTAGAGTAAATGATGCAACAAAATAAATAAATAATAATAAATAAAATAAAATTATTCCCGCATCAATATTTCCAAAATTTTTGACGCAGGTGGGAGTGATAATGTAATAAATTTGTCTATGTGCCCTTAGCTAGCTAGCCTACTAGGCCTAGTTTAAGACTTAGGCCTAGGCCTAGCTAGGGTGACGCATTTCCTTGGCAAAATAAATGCCATACCTAGTAATAGGGGCCTAGTCCTAATTAAATTCCAGACTGTATAGTAAGGCCTGCGTGTTTAATATATTCCACTCAAAAATTTGGCCTAGAAATCCGTCCACACATTTCAGAAAATAAGGGCCAATTTCCGAGTAGAGTTTGACGAAAATTAAACTTTGAACAAATCTCAATAACCAATGCAATTATGCAGTTATTAAGATTCCATGGACCTATTTTCCTAGTGATTTTTTACGCAAATTTGAGCTGATTTTTTAGATATCCTCTATGCAGTTGAATAAATTTACAGTATGCCTTAATGGTAGCATCATTTTGGCTGTAATTCAGTGGTCAATGGTCATGTATTTATATAGCACCTTCTACAAAAAAACCCGTCTCAAGGCGCTTTTAAGCCACAAGAAAGAAAAAAAAATTATTTAATGAACAGGCGCGAATGCGAAGTGGGTGGGGGGGATAGGTCTAGGCAGGAACATAGCTGTTGTACTACAACACTCGAGTTTTTTATGTGCATGCTTTTCAACTTGTCTTTCAGATTAAATGACAAGAAGTTTCGTGATGCGAAAATGAGAGCTTCAATTAACCAGAAAATGATTGAGACTGGAGAAAAAGAAAGGTGAGAGAAAATGACTGACTGTAAATGAATAATTTTTTAATTTTAAATTCTGTCAGCTGTACTTAAGCCAAACCATCCATCGAATGATGATTCCTGCAGAAAAACGAGTTCCGCTCCAATGAAAAATTTACACCTTCACAATGAGAAATATATTTTTGCCAAGATACAAATTATGTGACAGATAATAATACTGTAAAACAATATATGTTTGTGAGTATAGGGCTCAAATTACATATTGTCCATTTTGCAAGGCCAAATAATTTTTACTGAATTATTATGACAAAATACAATATCTTTTAATATGAAATGATATTTACTTAGGGGCCATTAACAATTATCAACCTTTTCAATAGAGTACAAAACATATGCTATAAGGGAGAAAGTATAGGCATAAGTACTTTTTTATGAGAAAGATAAAATTTTGATTTCAAAATGACACAAATCTACATTTTATTGTGTAGGTGCTCATTCTTTCGGGGGTGGGGGGTTAGCAGAAAATTATCAATATTCACTTACCACATTGCAATATACAGTAATATTAATAAGTCCCAGAACTCGCTCTTATATTAGACCATTTTTGTGGGGTGTTATTGTTTGCATCATACACTTTTTTGGAGGGTGTAAAAGAATTTTATTTGAAGCTTATGTAATATAAATTGTGTGATTTCAGACTAAAAGAATTGTTAAGAACAAAACTTATTGAATGTGGCTGGAGGGATGAACTTAAAGCTTATTGCAAAGGTGAGCTTATAGATATGCTTGGTTCATGGAAGATAAATCATAAAATGATGATGATGATAATGATAAACTTATATGCACTGAGAACCAATGAACATACAAACTTATGCATACAAATTTTCTTAACAAAAATTAAAATAGTCAAAAAGAAACGTTGATGATATTGTCATGATGAAAACAACAATGATTACCATGCTGCGACTATGACATCAAGGATAGCGACATCAAAGATGACACGGGTATTGATAATTATTATAATGGTGACGGCGCTTACGACAATAATGGTGATGATGTTGAATCTGAATTTGATAATGATAGTAATATTTTGTGTGTAGTATATGGTTTTCAAAATTTATTGTTTATTTCAGACAATTAATTAATACAATATTTACGTTTTCAAATAAATGCCCCACTTTGAATATACGCCCTGCTCGAATATATTCTCCCTCTAGAGCCTGATTTGGAATAAACACCTCCCCCGAAGAAAACACCCAGAGGCATTTATTTTTTCTTCGAATAAACACCCTCCTAAATGACTGTAAACATTTCTAATGGAAGCAACATCATTTTTAACACATTCTTTTAATGTTCTACTCCAATAGAATTCCATTTTTTCTATAAGTGGATCAGTAAGACTTTATATGATTATGCAATAACACATTTTTGATGGTAATTATGTTTGTAGTTCCACATTTACAATTAAATAAAGGGGTGTTTTACCCCAAAAAATAAAAAACGCCTCTTTCAATTAAATCCCCCTCAGAAACTCTTCTCAACAATAAACAAATAAATACGGTAATTTCATTTTTTTAAATGTTATTTAATTAGTGGGATCTTGCATAAATTACAAACTAATGATGCACATACTGTACTGTGTTGTCATTTTCAGAGGTTGTGAGAACCAAAGGCTTAGAGCATGTCACCGTCGACGATTTAGTAGCTGAAATTACCCCAAAAGGAAGAGGTTAGTTATAGGAATGTTTTATGTAAAAATTCTGTGTAGGGCACAGGTGGGCAAAGTGCGGCCTGACAGTGATTTTTTTTGGGGTCCGCGAAAATGAATTAGAAACCATATGTGTGCGCACCGCCAACATCTTTGGCTGGAAAAGACCTTGTTTTTTACAGCCCAACACCAATCATTTGTAAAAAGTACATTAAAACTGAGCATGAAGCGTTATAAAAGCAGTGCTTGAAGGTTTTTGAAAGTACCCTGGAAACATAAATGTTTGAGTGTGGCCCTCGGTGATAAATTAAAAATTCACTTTGGCCGTCCGACCAATTTTTATGTCCACCCTTGGTTTAGAGCTCTTACACTATCTATTATGAATTGCATTGAAAATATGTGCTAATTTTATATTGTAATATATATTTATAAAGATGTATCAATCTGTATTGAATCCAGGAATTTGAAAAAGAGGCAGTCCAGAAAGGGACATTTACAATTTTTTTTTACTAGAGTCATTTACTGTACATTTAAACTGTAAACATATCAAAAACATCATACAAGAGCAGTAAAGAAAATTGACTGAGAATGTTAGGTTTACAAGAAAACTTCAAAATTGCTAAAATTTAATCAGATGGAGAATCTAGACCATCTCAGTCCCACCATGAAAATTTATGATTATGAAACCTCTAGATGGTTGGAAATGGCACTCTCAGACTTAAATTTGAATATAATTTTCTTTTTTTCTCAGTGTTGGGCCAACTCGCCCCCCCCCCCCAGAACCTGCCATGGTCTATTGTTGGTGGCAGTCTGAGCATGATCCGCCACATGTGCTACATTGTGTTGCAGTCATATAAAATTGTATTTGTCAGTCAAACAGTGCCCAGCTATACTAACAACAATATTGAAACTATCCAATAATTGCCCTACAAAATTTTATTAACATACTTCTCCTTTTTTCCCCATTTTAGAATTAGTTCCTGATGAAGTAAAGAAGGATTTACTTCAAAGAATTCGAGCATTTCTTGCAGATCAAGCACCTGTTTGATGTTATTCAAGTCCTCATCAACTCTCCCTTCCCCGACCGGCAAGCAAGACATCCAGAATCAAATTTGACATCACCATTTGGCTTTCATAATAATTATTTTGGGGGGAGGAGGGGTGGAGGCACTTATTTTCAAAATGAATGCTATTTTATTCATATTTTAACCATGCTAGTACAATAAAAAATATTGATACTGACAGGCTATAATAATAATCAAAGATGACATCAGTTTGAATGTAAGTACTCTCTCGAAAGAATCCAGTAGTATCTTGATTAGAAGCCCATGGGCTTCATTTTGAGATGGGCTTCTCTTCGAGATTACTTTTGCTAACTGAAGAGAGGGGTTTCTTTTCTAGATGGGCTTCTTCTCGAGATTAAGCCCATAGAACTTCTATTCAAGATTTTATGGTAGATGTTTGTCTCGACGACTCAAAATGGAAACCACCAATTATTGTTTTTGTAGACAAAATGTACTACTTATAATATTGGTACTATATTCTAGGTCCTAATATGTATATACAGTATACAATAAGATACAAAACTAATTTGTAATGAAATAAAAGTATGTAAGTGAATAGGTTTATATTTTTCTAACTTTTTTTAAATTAAATACATGCTCTTCGCTTTATTGGTATACAAAAATTATACGGTAAATGCTGTACACGGATTACAGTGTTAGGGTGGCGCAGGGACGTATCCAGGTGGGGAGCCATGGGAGCTGCGGCTCCCCCCCCCCCCTTTGTACACAGCGTTCAAATTTTAAAGCTTATTCTTGAGCCAATACAAATTCTTTTCCTGGGATCACTCAAAATGAATACTTCTATCTAAAACATGTAAATATGCATCAGTACACGTTATACATAGGCCTAATAGAACACATAGGCCTAAGCGTGATTTAAAAAAATCTTAAATCCATTAAATCTCAGGCCAGGTCTTTTAAGATAGAAATCCGATACTGTGGTTCAATTTCGTTTTTATCCTTCTCCAAGTTTCATTAAATTTTTGTTTAATAATACTACTACTAATAGTACTAATAATAATAATAACAATGATGATGATGATGATGACGATAGTAATAATTGATAATAATATTAATAGCAATAAAAAGTGAAAATTGTGCTAAATGTGAAAAAAAGTTTTAATTCGTTGATCATAATATAGTATTATATAGGTAAATCTTAGTAAGCTATAGTTAGGCCTAAGTTGTCCTGGATATTAAGTAGATCCCTGATAAAAGATCATGAGAAATTTGTTGCCGTTTCATTTTGACTATAATGGTGATGTGATGATGATGAATTTTACTATATAAAAGTGTCATTTGCGGCCATCTCAATAGGTACTATTTCCTCAAATTTTCTCACCTCAGCCCAAGCCATGGTGGGGCTGAGGTGGTTGTGAAATAACGTTTTTGAAGTAGGCCTATGTAAAGTACATACTCAAAGACAATGTTTTTAAGCTTTGTTTTCTGTGGTATATTACACACACATTTATAAGATATCTATGGTTGTCAAAAATCCCTGATAAAAGATCATGAGGATTTTTTTTGGCTCTTCATTTTGACTAATGGTGAGGTGGTGATGATGAATTTTACTAAAAGTGTCATTTCAGGCCATCTAGAGGTACTATTTCCTCAAATTTTCTCAGCTCCAACCATGGTGAGGCTGAGGTGGGTTGTCGACTCACAAAATGCCCTCTCCCTCCACCTTTTAAAACAGATCTGTGCCCTTCCCTGGGTATGACATTAAATTCCATCGAGTCAGCTCCTGATGTATGTCTTAGTGACTGCTGTTTGTTTTTAGGATGTGATCTGGTTTTTTCATGTCCATTTTTCGTGATTATGACTATTCTGGATAAAGAATGTTTTGAGCAGAGGTTGATTCAACCCCCCCCCCCCATCATTTTTTAAGGAAAAAATGAAAAATATATTCAAATATAATTTCCGGCCGTCTAGAGATGCCCTAATCATAAATTTTCTTGCCTCAGCCCCAACCATGGTGGGGCTGAGGTGAGTGGTTCCTCGGTCTGTGAATGTCCCTCCCTGGTTCACCTCTCTTTCGAATTCCTGGATCTGCCACTGTTG